AGAGTTGAAATTTTTTTCATGAAATATTTAAAAACAGTAAAAATACATGGCCATAAATAATTCTAGGCAAGAGATGTAGACGATGAGCCATTAAAGAGTATGTGTAAGATAACGCCGGTCTAATCACAAGGGGTAACAGTTTCAACGCACTGTTACCTAAAATTTCAATTAGACTTTGTGTTGTCCTTACTAAGGTTAAATTTAAATTGAGAGATATTTAACTATACTAACATTCTTTATTTCCCTTTTTCTTGAATTGGTCATGTTGTTATTAGAACAAGTGGGAGATTGTTGTAATTAATAACAATAATTAATGACTACGAGTGTGTTTCAAAATGACAAAAAAATATGCAAGTGAAGTTTGTTTTTTAAATTCAGAAATAGGCAACACTTGTGAAGTGTTGCTAGACAGTTTGTTTTTTGAATTCTGAAATCGACAACACTTTGTGAAGTGTTGCAGTTGACAGTTTTTTTTTTGAATTCGGAAATAGATAATGCTTCGTGAACTTTTGTAGTAGGAAAAAGGTTGCAACATTGCTTTTGAATAGGAAATGCTTCGTGAACTCATGCAGTAAGCAGACAAAAATAAGCAACGGTTTTGAAGTATTGCAGTAGGCGAAAAGTTGCAACAATCAACAAAAAGTGTTGCTGAAAGAATGTGTTTTATCAAGGATCACAACCTTGTGAAATAACACTACTTGAACTATAAATTAATCATTCCAGATTCAGAAAAATACATAACAAAAATACATCGTCTTTTCTACAAAAATACATATTTCATCTTCCTTATATTCGAGTTTTCATCGGTCTTATGCAAACTTGAAATAGGTTGAATTATCCTAAGTATTCATGTGTATTGACTCTTAGACAATTTGAGAATGCTTGAAATACTATAAGAAAAGTGATTCGTTCATGATTTTAGCCTCGATCCATTTAATTTATAAATAATTTTTTAAAACCGAAAATGTAAGCAAATCTTCCAATTTAAAAGATTGAAAATCAATGTGTCTCTAACCATCCATTTAAATATGAAAACCATCTCCAAATATAATATATTGAATGATTTTAATGTATTTCAAAATTGTGATTTATAATAAAAGAATAAGTTAACTTACATAGAAATAAATCTAAACATAATAATTTTTTTTTTATATATAAGAGAGCCGAAGCCCATAAACATCATAAACTTACTTAATGAGTCGTTCACTAATAAAATAAAGAGAATTTAACAAGTCATCTCCAAAATTATATATGGCACCTCCAATTTTATTTATTCCACTTTTAATTTTGGATGAGTTGAACACAATTTCTGGACGAAATTTCTGGTAGAAGGATTGAAATTTCCGATACCACCCAAATTTCTGATACACCCCTACGAAATTTCCAGTACCATAAATTTTTGGTAGTGTATTTACATTTCCAGTATACCGGAAATTTCAATTAATTTGAAATTTCCGGTAGTATTAAAAACATGGTTTTTTGAACGACTGGAATTTTGCCAACATATTTGGATGATTCTGATTGCACCGACACATTTGTGTGGTCTATAATGCATTACCATTTGTATAAATAGGGGCATTCATTATAGAGAAAATACATCTAAAAAAATGTCTCTTTCTTAATCTCTGATTAAGGAAAAAATGTATGACAATGACAACAACCCTCCAGTTGAATTCAAATTTCCAGATGGCTCTGAATCCTTTGTCACCTTGAAAGAAACATTGAATAATTTGCTACCTGGTTCTGATAAAAGAAGGGTGACAAAGGTAGAGTTTTAAGAGGATTATATTGATACAAATGAAAGGTGAAATACAACCTAATCGAGTTGAAGAATGATGAAGATGTGAAGGACGTGTGGAAATCATTTTGTCGTAGGATAACTAAATGTTCGGTCGAGTTAGATGTGCAAATCCGAAGGGTTTCATCAAGTTAAATGTGAGAATGATGAAGATGTTTAGTTATTTTTGATTTATGTTTGTTGTACTGTTCTAGGTTTTCATCAAAAAATTATGCAATAAATAAGATGTTTGTTTGTCACAAAATATACATATTATACAACTAAAATAAAATAGATCTACATAGGCCCTCCACGGGCTATGTCGGTTAACCTAGCTAAACATTTATAGATCTCACCATCTGGGTTTACCAAACCCATGAGACTGTCAGCATGAACTACAATAAACTGGAGTCAACTGTCCTGATCTCCTGCAGGTGGTAGAGGTGGTGGCTCGGTAGACGGGCTAGCACTCGAAAGCCCCAGAACATCAGATGTTGCAGCCTGTGGTATGACCCGAGGGTGTGACACACTGTGAAACCACTTCAGGTATCCATTCTCACACACCCCAGGCTACTGAACCTCGACGGTTGTATCTATAATCTCACCGGGGGAGGTGAGGATGTGACTCTGAAACCATCTATTAATTCCACCAGCCGGAGACTCTGGAACTGGATGGGGGTTGCCATATACATAACCATACTGGCGTAGACACCTCTCAGACAAGTGTCTAGCCACACGACTCTCCCATCTAATATGCCCTAAATATAAAAGTATATATATCAAATGGATGATGAAGGCGATGAGATGTATAGGGTGTCTAGACAACATCATTCAAGGTCAGAGCGCCAAGCCTCCTCGGTACTCCATCAAACCTCTTGGAATGGCCTGCTTGGCCTTCCATCTCCTCGCACATGGCTCGGGTGTCGTGACACGCTGGATCTTCCGCCCACAGATTTGAGGGAAGTGTTCGTATATCCAACACTGCATAAATAAAAACCAACAAATAAATACACACAAATAATTAATAAAAACCGTCAAATAAATTATAGTATACTTGTAACAAGCAGAGGTAACCAGCAAGCTGCCTGGTCTCAGAATGAGAAGTAACATAAAGTGTCGTGTACAACATGGTCAAGGTTGCCACTCTCCAAGCCTAACATGGAATGTCAAGTGCACTGAAGAGAGACAAGTACCGAACATCAATATAAACTTCAGACTTGTCCGCGAAGAGAGTACATGCCACCAGATGTAGCATGTAAGCCCTAGCGACAACCTCGTGTCTCTGTGCCTCCACACGCTCTTTATACAAACTCCTCAGCTAAGACATCTGAAGGTGAAATCCCCGAGTCTCACCAAACTCCTTCAGCACCTCCGCCTCAGAACACTCTAAATCCTCCATAACCATGCGCACGACCGTCGTCTGGTCCCTATAAACTGGTGTAAAAAATGTATCAGCAATTAGAATGTGAAAGAGAGCGTCCACATTATCTAAAGTCACCGTCATCTCCCCAAATGGAAGATAGAAGAATGATATCTCCGGGTGCCACCTCTCAACAAAAGCTGATAAAAAGGAGGCACCCAACATGGTCAAGGAACAACCAGTAAACTCCAGGAGATGGAACTCGTTAACGATCCTCTTCACCTCCTCAGGCATGAGACTCTTAGGGAAGTTCTTCAACTTTGTACCATGTGAAGCGACCTTCAACACCGGACGCTCCTGTAAGAAGCAAAAACAAATTATTATACATCAAATATTGTAAGCAAAAATAAAAATTATGCAATTAAACAAAACCAAAAATATATATCTCGTCTTGCCATATTGTATAAGCGACATGATTCGTAAGTCCTGTCAGCACGAACCTGTCTGAAGGTCCTCCAAGGAAACCTCCATCAGTGTGTACTGATGGCTATGTAGACACACGAGTTGTGATGTCTGTATCAACGGGAGACACCTCATCAACTCGCTCAACAACAACCTCCTCCTCAGGCTCCTGCACCACAGGCTCCATAATGTGCTCCTCAACAACTGGCTCCACAATAGGAGAAGAAGCCTGTACCTCCGCAGTAGGAGCCTACACCTCCTCAATAGGAGCTTGTACCTTCGCAGTGAATACTCTATGACCCCGACAGGGGGTGCGCGAAACTGCACATTCTGCTCAGTCATTCGTTTCCGATGAAAATCGATCGAAGAATGTCGTCCAGCCCGTAACTCTAAAGCCTGTGCCTCATCAACACAGGCTTTAACATCAACTCTATCAGTGGTCCGTCCCGCAATAGAACCATCTCTGCTTCTGGTCCTCACTGCAAAATAAGAAAATATGATGAAAATATAAAATACCAAAAAATTTTAAATTTCCGATAATTTTTCAAAAAAATTTAAACTATCGGAAATTTCAAAATTTCCGGTATTATGTGACGCACCAGAAATTTCAAAATTTCTGATATAAATGATAAATGAAAATACCGGAAATTTCTCAAAAATACCGTAAATTCTCACTTGTTTGTAAAATTTTCGATATCGCCCAAAAATTTTAAAAATCTGGTTTTCTATGTGAATTTAAAATATGTAATGAATGATTTAGATCTAGACAATTTAATTTTTTCATGCTCTTTGAAAGATGTCATGTATAATATGAGGGGTGGTAAGTTAATTTCTCAAAAATAAATAACTATAAATGTTACTATTTTGCGTCTAATATGTACAACCCATTATATCTACATTCAAATTCTTCAATTTTGTGGCCCCGAATTTTTATTAATGAATGGTAATGTACTTTTGATGTGCAGAAAGAAAATATCAATGGAGTTGAAGGATAAATTTCCAAGTTGGTTTTGACCTTGCACAATAAAGTGTACCGAGATATAGGTGGGCGTAATAAATGTAATAATTATGCTAGGTTGCTTGCTAGACAAACACCAATCATGAAATTGATATTTTAAAATTCAACATTAATTCACACAAGCTAGTTTTTGCTGCTAATTAATACATGAATTCTGTCCAGGTTCATGCAGTCCAGGTTCATGCAGTAGTAAACTTGAGTTCACAACTCTATCAGATGCTAGGCTTGAATTCAACATATACTATGTATTTTTGCATTTTTGGTAGAGAGGAAAAATACAAGGAAGATGCTAAGCTTGAATTCAACATATATATCCTTTCCAATACTAAACTTCACACCTTTCTTTTTCTTATTTGCAATCTATCTTAATTTCTATAGCAGCAATGAAGAAGAATGCATCACCTCATCCTTCAGAGCATAGCATGTCTGTTACCTCCCCTCTTCTTGATTTGGAAAAGGTATATACTTTAACTCTTCAACTACAATAATCTAATGCATGCATAAGCTGCTTTGAATTATCATGTTTGAGCATATTTATTGACATAAACACATGTATATGATAATGGTTTATGACTTAGTTAAGTTGTTTACTCAAGCAAAGCTTTGTTTTTTGGATTAGGAATCTGAGATATCAAGTGGTGAAGGGTCTCAAAATAGGGTCATAGAATTAGAAGATGAAGTGAAAGATGAGTATAGCATTAATGATAGTCCCATTGAACAAGTGAGGCTAACAGTTCCAATCACTGATGACCCTTCTCAGCCAGCACTCACTTTCAGGACTTGGATTCTAGGACTAGCTTCATGTGTGCTCCTTGCATTTGTCAATCAATTCTTAGGTTACAGAACCAACCCTTTGAAAATCACTTCTGTCTCAGCTCAGATTATTACACTCCCACTTGGGAAACTTATGGCTGCAACACTTCCCACAAAACCAATTCAACTCCCTTTCACAGATTTGTCCTTTTCGTTGAATCCGGGGCCATTCTCTTTGAAGGAACATGCGTTGATAACCATTTTTGCTAGCTCGGGATCTAGTGGTGTTTATGCAATTAGCATAATCACAATAGTTAAGGCTTTCTATCACAAAAACATACATCCTGTAGCGGCTTATTTGTTAGCGCTATCGACTCAGATGCTAGGGTATGGATGGGCTGGAATTTTCAGAAGGTTCCTTGTTGATTCCCCTTACATGTGGTGGCCTGAAAACCTTGTGCAAGTGTCCCTTTTTAGAGCATTTCATGAAAAAGAAACAAGGCCTAAAGGAGGAACTTCTAGGCTGCAATTCTTTTTCATAGTCTTTGTAGCTAGCTTTGCATATTACATTGTCCCGGGCTACTTTTTCCAAGCAATATCAGCTGTGTCTTTTGTTTGCTTGATTTGGAAAGATTCCATAACAGCACAACAGATCGGATCGGGCATGAAAGGCCTTGGCATTGGTTCATTTGGCTTGGACTGGAACACGGTTGCTGGCTTCTCAGGTAGTCCTTTGGCTGTGCCTGGTTTTGCCATCATCAACATAATGGCTGGATTTTTATTGTATATGTATGTTTTGATTCCAATTGCTTATTGGAACAATTTGTATGAAGCTAAAAAATTTCCCCTCATTAGCTCTCACACATTTGACTCTACCGGTGCGACTTACAACGTTACTCGGATCCTCAATACCGAAACTTTCGACATTGATATGGACAGTTACAACAATTACAGCAAGATCTATCTTAGTATCATATTTGCGTTTCAGTACGGATTGGGCTTTGCAACTCTTACAGCCACAATTTCGCATGTTGTCCTCTTCCACGGAGAAATGATTCTCCAGATGTGGAAAAAGTCGGCAAGTTCACTAAAAAACCAACTCGGAGACATCCATACAAGAATTATGAAGAAAAACTATGAACAAGTTCCTGAATGGTGGTTTGTTTCCATTCTAATTCTAATGGTTATGATGGCTTTAGTAGCTTGTGAAGGCTTTGGCAAGCAACTTCAACTTCCGTGGTGGGGAATCTTACTTGCTCTAGCAATTGCATTAGTTTTCACATTACCAATTGGTGTCATCGAAGCAACAACAAACACAAGATCTGGTCTCAATGTGATCACTGAGTTGGTTATCGGTTTCATCTATCCAGGAAAGCCACTAGCTAATGTAGCTTTCAAAACATACGGCCATATCAGCATGGTACAAGCGCTTGGTTTTCTTGGTGATTTCAAATTAGGCCACTATATGAAAATTCCACCAAAATCAATGTTCATGGTGCAGCTTGTAGGCACTGTAGTTGCTTCATCTGTTAACTTTGGAACGGCATGGTGGCTTCTAACATCTATCGAGAACATATGCGATGAATCATTGTTGCCGAAAGGTAGTCCTTGGACATGTCCTGGTGATGATGTGTTCTATAATGCTTCCATCATATGGGGGGTTGTAGGGCCAAAAAGAATGTTTACTAAAGACGGCATTTATCCTGGAATGAATTGGTTTTTCCTTATTGGTCTAATTGCACCTGTTCCAGTGTGGCTTCTATCTATCAGATTTCCTAACCACAAGTGGATTCAACTTATTAACTTTCCTATTATCATCGCAGGTGCATCTAGCATTCCACCTAGGAGATCTGTGAATTATATTAGTTGGGGAATTGTTGGAATATTTTTCAATTTCTATGTTTACAGAAAGTTCAAAGGTTGGTGGGCTAGACATACTTATATTCTTTCAGCTGGTTTAGATGCTGGAGTTGCTTTTATGGGTTTATTACTCTATTTTGCTCTTCAATCTTATGGTATATTTGGTCCAACATGGTGGGGTCTTGAAGCAGATCACTGCCCTTTGGCAGGATGCCCTACAGCTCCAGGTATACATGCAGAGGGTTGTCCTGTCATTAACTTCCATGTTACCATTCCATCACCAGCATTGCCAAGTTAATGTGATATTGGATATATATGTAAAATGTACAAAATTAAGAACATGGTTTATTTTGATATCTGTACTTCATTTTTTAAACTATCTTCTTTCATTTTTCACTTTTGATATTGGACTGTCATGAATTGTCTATCTTGGCTCGTACTTTTCTTGGCTCGTACTCCTCATACTCCGATAATAGTCCCACTATGTCGGCCATACTGGCAGTATGATTGTCACAGTCAGTATGTATCAATTATATATCATTCTCTAAAATAAGTCTTACCTATCTCCTTTTATCATCTAGTCTAGTCTAATCCTCACATTAGAATTAAGATTAATGACAGTACTAGTATCATCGCAGAGTTGGTTTGTCTGGCAAATGCACAATTTTTATGCCCTGATATAGAAAAACCATATATCAGTTCTGTTCTTTTTGTATTTGAATTTGAATTGCCAAGTTACATGCTTGTTCCAATTTGTTATACATACCATAATCTATTTTTTCACTCTTGAATTGTACACAATGTATACTTCAAGCATTGATATAATGTGCGACAGATAGCTTAAGAAAGTACATCTTAGACAGGAAGCATTTTGCTATCTATTTCATTCTTCTGGAGGTGTTCTTGAGTCGGCTTTTGTCCAAGAAGAGCCAAAAATACAAAATATGGGTAGTCCGAATAGTTCCCCGTAGTAAACGATAAATGCAGAATGATAAAACATAAAAGATTGATAACAGATTTGGCCTAATCTCCCTTGCCTCCGGGCTTCTGCAGACCTTTCAATTGAAAAGAGAGTTTTACACAAAGTGCTGACAAATACTCACAATCTCTCATAATCCAAAACCCAATTACACACAATAGTATTTCATCCTAGAACTTTCTCTCTTAGTGCTTGAAATTTATCTTTTTAAAATGATTTTCTCTCTCAATGGTGGAATGATTGAACTCTTCATTATCTCTTCCTATTTAAAGGTGACCAAGTAGCTTCATGATCAAGCAACTTTTGGTGAGCAAATTTATTATTTTGGCGGACAAGTAAACTTATTGAATAAGTAAGCTTCACTAACAATCTCTCACTTGAAGATTGATTTCAACTGGTCTTTACAACTTGATCACATGACATCTTTCTCTAGTATGTTGCTCTAGAAAGCCAACCAACTTCAGTTTATCGATGATTACCACTTTTGCCTCTGCATCTGTGTAACCTTGTATTTTTATTTCTCCTTTGTTGAAGTACAAACACTTGTCTAGTTGTCTCTAGATACCTTATAAATCCACATTATGTCTTCCTAATAAGCTTTACCTAGATTTTACATAAAGATGCTAACAACTCCCATTGCATGATCAATGCTTGGTCTTGTATGTACCATAACATACATCTAACTCCTAATGGGTGAATCATACATAATCTTAGTCATAGGTTATTTTTCTTCCTTTGTATGCGGTGACTGTTCTTTGGATAAGAGAAATGACTCACTAAAGGTGTGTTATCTGGCTTGGCATTTCTTAAGTTTAAGCTCTGTAAAACGCAGTTTGTGTACTCTGTCAGAGATAATTGCAAAATGACAGTGCTTATTACATAAATTACATTTAAAAGCAAGACGATTAGATTTCTTCATAGCGTTGCAGATATTATTAAATGATTGATTAATTTTATAACCTACACCATATAAAGTGCAAATAAAGTTTATTTTCATTGTCCATCCACGGGCGATTGAGCAACGTGGATCAACAAACAAACTAATATTGAAAGGGATCAAGAAGAAATTAGATGACCCCAAAGGACTGTGGACTGAGAAGTTACACGAAGTGTTGTGATCATATCACACTGCTCCTCATTCAACTACCAAGGAAACTCCCACTCTAGTATATGGGGCTGTTGGCAAGCAATTTTTGACTAGGGAAGTAAGCCCTCAGGTTGTAAGGTAATTTTTGCTAGAAAGGCATGTTTCCATAAAGAACAATGGGACGCGTCGGCAAAGACAAAAGAAGTGTTTAAACTAGGAAGGCTGGTCGACAAAGACACCAGTGTCGGAAGCAGGCTCGACAGACATAAATGTTGACAGGAAATGATAAATGGCGGCAAGAACAGTTATCAACTCACAAACCATAAAGAACGTGTGGATGTCTCAAAGAAGTTTATGACAGCTTCTTCATGAATCTCAATGTGGGACTGATAACCGTCGACGATTACACTTTTAGAATTTCTATTTAAGCAAACATTTGAATTTGTGTTAGAGGTCGCATTTCTTCACATTTAGAGCATTACAATCAAAATACCTGCATCTAAGAGAGAAACGAGTTCAGGCTTGACAATGTATGAATGCTTCCAAGTTTAAATTCAAAGCGATTTCCAGTTTTAACTTTAAATTACAAGTCTTGTCATTTATTTTCTCTTTACTTTGCAATTGTTCTTTACTTTTGCCATTTTTACCTATGAATCCTATATCAACCAGTTTTAACCCAAAGCACTCAAAACACTAAGTCTAGGATTATTGTAGCTGATCCTGCAAGTAACCTTTAATAAGAGCTAGAGATTGTTCGCGAGAAACAAATTGACACGCCTGGTGGGACACGTTGTGTTTGAGTCTTTCTCGTTTCGTACATAAAATTGAGAAGTTGTAGAAAAATGGTAGATCCTATAACTCCTGAAAGGGATCAATCCTTGGGAGGAAATACCAACGCGGCAACGAGTGTGGGTTCAAGTTCTGTGGTCGTGTCTTCGACTGCACCGAACGTAGATACCATAACACAGCCAGTAACTGCAAGACCACCAATGGTCACAAACTTCTAGGCAATATGTACCTAATTTTGCAAGAGAGACGCACGGTGGTGTGATGAAACTTCTGGGCAGTATGTGCCTAGTTTTGTAAGAGATACACATAATGTTGAACACAAATACGGAATGCCAACGACGATGATGGTAGGCCTGCATAGCAGTAGTTCGACATTTGGTGAAAACTCTGCATCGGCATTTTTCCCATATCATGCCTCAGGGCCGTTGGAAAATCAATTTGGTCGTTCGACTGGATTGAGATTTTCCCACCAGATCATGCATATTTTCACCCCAAGCACCGTTGCTATCATGAGACAACAGATGAATGAAAGTAATAATTAGATGGATAATATTCTTAATCAACAGATAAGCCTCATATTAAGACCTTTGATCGAGAATTCAGTGCAGAGTTATCAGACCTTAGCAACTCAAATGACTCGCATCAGTGCCCCAAGAGCGCCAGCTCGACAGGCTACACCGTCCCCACGCGAGGAACTGGTACCGTATGAAGAGGTGGTCGATGAAACAGCTAGATGAGAACCATCGATTCCCCAACATGTCAATCCAATACATAGGATACTCCAACAACCCTCAGTAGTAATAGCAAACCAAAACCAGAATGCCGACCAGCTGGTCAGGCATGTTTGACGAGAGGCGGTGGCTAGGGAACAAAACCTAGAAGCCATCATCGAACGAATTATGGTTAGGAATGAAATGAATATTGGCTGTCAGAGGACTACACATGTCTCTCCATTGCTAGATTTCGTGTTATAAACGAAGTTACCAAGAGGGTGGAAACTCCCAAAATTCACTAAGTTCGCAGAAGATGTTGAAGAATTTATTGTCGAACATGTTGCCAAGTACTAAATTGAGCTTGGAGAGTTAGTAGTGAATCAGAATTTAAGGATGAAGTATTTTCCTAATTCCCTTACAAAAAATGCGTTTACTTGGTTTACAACGCTTCCCCCACAATTAGTCCAAACATAGATTCAGTTGGAGAAACTTTTCCATGAATAATTTCACATGGGACAACCTAAAATAAGCCTAATATAATTTTCCAGTGTTAAAAGAAATAACATTGAGTCGATAGACCAATACCTTAACAGGTTTAGACTTCTGAAAGCACAATATTTTACACAAGTCCCTGAACACGAGTTGGTCGAAATGGTTGCGAATAGATTGGAGTATTCTATCAGAAATAAGTTGTTAGATACTCCGTCTTTGAAGGATATGGCTCAGTTGGCTATCAAAGTTTAACTGATCGAACGTTTGAAAGTTGAGAAAACCAAACTGAATAAGTACCACAAAAAAGGGAAGGTTGCTTACATAGCAATTGGCGAGTATTTTTCTGATGAAGAAGAGTCTGGGGAAGAAACAAAGGTTAATATGGTTAAACTTCAGCCTGGACCTCTCTATGTGTGTAAGCTATTGAAACCTTTGAGCGGGAAAAATCCTGGCGAAACCGAAAAGAATGACAAAACCATCACCAAAACTTACTCTTTTTACATAATTAAATGTGATGAAATATTTGATTTGTTAGTTGCTGATGGTCAAATTGTGGTCCCTCAGGGCCTGAAGAATCTCCCACTTGAACAAAAGAGGAAAAGGGGATTCTGCAAATTTCATAATTTTCTTGGTCATAAAACTTCTCAATGTGTTCTTTTCAGGGATTTGATGAAGAATATGTTGAAAGAGGGCAGACTTCAATTTAGCGAAAAGCCAAAGATGCAAGTCGACATTGATCCTTTGAAGGTGGATGAGGCTTTATACCCAAAGCCTTTGGATTGTATGATGGTTGAAGCTATTGAGGGCCTCGATAGAGAAGTCATAATTATTGGTGACATAGAAGTTATGATGGTTGGAACTAATGATAGTTTCGACATGAAGATGGAAGAGTGGTTTCAGGAAGTGTACCCTCAGCCTGAAGAGAGCTTGGCTGACTTTCAAGAAAAATGCATAGTGAAAGGATCGAAGGACAAATTATGCCCAAGATGCAACACTGTGTATCATGAAAAAGCAGTTGAGAAATATGAAGTTGTCAAAAAATAGGCTCTCAAGCAAGAGAAGCCTTCAGTTCCAAGGTTTATTTTTGACAAAGAAGGAATTCCTCGACGCAACAAAGAGTACAGAAGATTGTTCTAGAAATCTTGTCTGAAAACCTTTTGCCCTCTGTAACGTGGTGGGAGAACTGACTTGGGATGTTTTGCGTTTGATCATAATTGTTGCGGATAGCAAGAGTCGCC